TCTGAAGACATTCTGCCTGACTGTTTGTTTTTGTCGTGGCACGAAACAGCTCGATAGTGACTGCTGTATTTTGCATTGTGGCAGTTTATACTCGGTTTTCTTGCTTTTTTTTTTAGTTTGAAATACAGTGGCTGTTTCACTTGTAGATGGTCCAGCCTCAGGATCTTTTTGAAAGACACTGTTTGCAATCATTAATCTGGAGCAGATTAATTTCATATGAACGAAAAGAGAATCTTCCTAAATGTAAACATAGCAAAGTTAGCATTTTGTCAGACTAATAAATGAGGTTGACCTAAATACGACGTTCTATTTTTGCAAATAATTAATCATACTTAAAATAACCTTGTGGTTAACGGTTAAATTTTTTAAATATTTTAAAATAGCGACCCCCTAGCAGTACCACTGTGGTCCACAGGTTGAAAGAGACTGATCTGTTTCAGAAACCACTACTGGAAGCAAACAATGGCTAGTTCAGTCAAGAAGAAAGCTTGCAACATTCCACTTTCAGACACTTATTAAAGGTGACCTACTGTAACTGCTTCATTATTATTTTTCTTCACTTTTCTTCACCATTTTGTTAAATTATATTTTAATTATTTCAAAAACTGTTTTAAAATGAAACTGGTTCAAAATTGGCAGGTTTTGAACTTGAAGTGCTTCATGAGTCACTAAATCTCAACAAAAAAAACTGCCATCTGAGCTGACGGAATAACAAAATCACAAATTGTGTCACATTGATTCTGAAGTGAGTCATACAATATTTCAAAATATAGCGCCATTAAAGTTATTCTAAACAATCCCACTTCTGACATACGTTAAATATTTACAGGAAATCTTGAAAGAAAAAAGGGCATTTGTGCAAATATGCATGAAAACTGTATTACTCAAACACACTCACAGTGTTGCCTAAGAGAGTCAGTGTGGGCAACAGGAGGAAAAAGGTAAATAGTGTCCAGATACCCAGAAGGTCCTATTCACAATAAGACTGATGAAAAGTTGGCTATTTACATATACTGAATACACCAAACTCTCATTGACTGCTTGTTTGTCGTTTCCAGTTATGCTCATATGCAGGGCTCACTTTCATGTTGACTGAGCTAGACGGCAGCTAAACTGACAGAGGTCATAACCTGCGTAACTGTACTGCACATACCGTAACTGACCACTGTGGTCAAAATTACACCTACCCTATAGACCTACACGTCAAGCCTAGCCCGTAGACCTGACAAGTCCAGCCAGTATCTGTAACACCTGTGGATAAGTTTTTTTTCTACATTAAAATCGTTTACAAAATGAGTTGTACTTTAAGCTACTTCTCCAATTGTATGTAGTTAGCTAGCTAACATACGTCACGCTGTGGCAGGATGAGCTGCTAAATCTTAAACAGTTTTTTGAAGCTGCTGCTAAATAAATCTGAATAACAGAAACGGCTTAGAATATTCCAGTGACTAACAATAGTAACGTAACATGATCAACTTTAGTGATTTTTGTAGGGTTAACAACAGCACATTCTGGCAAATCAGTTAGAGAACAATAGTTTGGAGGGAAATTTCTCACTATTCTGCTGCTTCAGAATTGACCATGTTTTCTTTTCCAGTGGTCAGTCAGACATAAACATTGTAGCTGTCCAAAGTAAAACAACTATCTTCAATGTTATCTACAACATTAACTTTACAAAAGAGGACAAAATGTTTTAAATTTGAATTTAAGTTAATGTAATGTGATTTTATTCCAAGCACTTTTCAAGCATTTCTTTTTGTATTTAGCATGAAAATTTCAAACAATGTAAATACGATGTTAACTCACTCTTGGCTGGAAGTCGCGTTGAAAATGTAAACAAAAAAAAAACAACAAAATTGTTGATTTTTTAATAGTCAACATCACTGATCATTTCAAATAACTGTTTTAGCCCAAAGGACTATTCAAAAATGAGTTTTTTTAATTCCGTATTTACAAAAACAAACAGTAGGAAAAAAAACAAATATTTGGTTAAAAAAATCATAATAAAAACTATCCAATCAGCTACTTGTTCCTTCTTGTGCAGTTTACGGAGTTACTACAGACTGGTGGTGGTTGTTGTCTACAGGTTTGTGATTGTTGATCTAAATCTGTCTCATGATCCATGCAGTTGTTCAGTCCTCTGAAAGCTCTGATACCCATCACATACTCAGAAAAGAATACTGAGACATAACTGATCACAATAACATATAATCCCCAGCTCTTCTAATAAACATGCAGCTGAGATTTTTTTTAAACTACTGTTAACAGCAGAACAAAAAGAAAGGGAGATTTATATTTCTTTTTCCACAGAGGAAAAAAAGTCTCATCACATCAGCTTCATAACTTGCATGAAACGTTTAGGGAGTACGGATTCCAAGATCACAGCAATACTGATCATCACAAAGCACATTAACATGCTAACAAATCAGAAACCTCTGCTGTAAAAACACCCCTACTGTGAGCTTGTTCCTGCTCCTGATGAGTGTTCTGATGAAGGAAGACATTAACATGGTCTAAACTGATGTATTAAGTGTAATATATTTTGTACACATCATGCTGTCCTGGTTTCAGTATGTCCTTGCAATGAAAAGACAACAGAACAACAGCCAACACAAGTTTGCAAGTGCAATGCAGGACTTACATAAAAGTTCACCACACCAGTGAAAGTGCACTGCTCCAGTGGTGGCCCTGAACTTTCTCCTGGAGTACTGTATGCTCTCTCTTATCCCACACATTCTTTACACATGAATTACCAAGCATTTAAAAAAAAAAATCACTGAGGTTTACTCAGAAGTGTGTAAAGTAGCCGAATCCCATACTAGTGGAAATGCACGAGCAGAATCAGTGGATTTTTTTAATCAAATATGCAATCGGCTACTGGCCAATTAATTATTTTTATTTTGGCCAATCTGTGTTGTAGTTTTATGGCGTAAATAGCAAAGGTTTAGTCAGTGCACTTGTGCTGCAGCTGAATGCTGTTGCTGCACCTACACCAAAATATTGTAGCCTAATTAGGCATGACTCACTGTGCTACACAGTTACCTCTTACTGTTGATGTAGCATTTCATTTGATTCATATTTTTTAAAACAGGGCAATCATTTTTCATTTTTCATTCAGAATTTTAAAAGCCGGTTTACACTGTTACTTTGGCTAATAAAAAAAGTACTGGAAAGTGTGTTAATGTGTTTATTTAGCATTCACATCCAAAGCTTTGAGTAAAAAATAAAAGGCTTTTAAAATCTCCTGTAAAGAAATTGTAATTTGACACTGTATTTTGTTACTGGCACATTCCTACACGCAAGTAAAAGAGATGTTACTTTAGTGAAAATCATCAAAAAATACTCCTGAAAAATGCAATTTCAGAAAAAGGAGCAGGTCAAACTACAACCAAAGTAACGAGGAACTTACAGAAAAGCGGTGTAACTTAACAGCATAGCTACCTTAACTAATGACATTAATGAGATCCAGCATCTATCAGGAAAAAAGAAGTGGAGTCTGTGAGATTCTGCTCCTCTCTTTCAGAGATGCAAATAGAATTAGGCAACATGACAATCCATATCGTTATTGTGATAAATTACATGACAATATTTCTGAGTATATTGTGGACATTGTAAGTACCACATGTCTGATTGCAAAGAGAGCATCATCAGTCCTTTTTAATTGTACTTTGAGCAGTATATGAAAAACTGAATGTGAATCACTGCATTCATTGAATCATTTATTTAATAGTAGTTCTGAAGCAAGACTTTGTCTTTTACAATTTATCGGATGCCAGAAAAAAATATATGGTGACATATCATGCATCAATTCAACACAAAAAAGGGAATTAGCAAAATTGTTAATGTAAAAGTAGATTTCTTTCCTCACTAACATAACTGAGAACAAGTAAAAATATTATTGGAGTGCTGGAAATACTCAGGAGAGTAAAAATCCAAAGAAATTAAAATTAGGTGTAGCAGATGTGAGTAAATGTAACATTACTACACACCTCTGGGTTTGCACAGACACATTTAAAAGGCCAGACGCCATCGTGCAGCCTTCTACACCAGACCTGAGCCCACAGCGTGTCTCTGCAGCAGCGCGAGCGTTTATTCGGTTACTCAGCGCGCTGATGTGAATGTGCGATGGCGGCCTATCAAGGCTAACTGGTCACGTTACGCTACACCAGCTTCGCTGGACTGGACAACGCTGGTAGGACCCAACGGAAAACTGGGCAGTGTTAGTGTGTTGCGTGTGTTATTTTTCGCGGTAAAGTATGACTGATCCAAATAAGAGGGTGCATTTCAGTATGGCCTGCACGCTGATGGCGCTCCAGCTAGCCTAGCAAGCTGCACTACAAACCTCAGTAACAGAGCCAGAGAGAGAGAGAGAGAGAGAGAGAGAGAGAGAGAGAGAGAGAGAGAGAGAGAGAAGGGGGGCGGTGTATCCGCATGTGTAAGAGTGTACACACACACACACACACACACACACTTTCCTCTCTCACTCCCCCCCCGCCACTGTTTCAGAGGCCACCCCTTCAACTCAACGCGAAGCTAAACTGTCTTGTTATTCGGATTTTCCGCTCCACCTTTAACAGCGCACAGTCGCCAGAATGGAAGTGCTGCACCATTTAAGGCGGAGCGGAAAAATGTGAATTTGAGGCCAACTTCAGCCTCGTTCAGCTCAACTCCTCTCCTCACCGTGGCCTTCAACCACTACGGCCAAAGCTCACTCCTCTACAAAATACAACCCCCACCCACCCCTCCCTCCCCTTCACGCAGAAAGGCAGCAACACCACCACCACCACCGCGACGGCGGCGGTCTCCATTTTCACCCCCGAACAAACGCAACGCTGACGCTTCGACGCTCGTTTGAGTTTGACTGCAAAAGCGCCCGTATAAGTGCTCTTAAAATGTGTAGCGAATACAGCTAAGCTAGCCTAGCTCTCCCATTACAGCCAGCCAAAAACACTAGAGGAGGAGGAGAGGAGGGGCTTTCTCTCTCTCTCTCTCTCTCTCACCTTTATTTCTGGAGCTGGAGATGCGTGTTATTTCCAGTCGTCTCGTACTCTGCGCTTGTGACCGTGCAGTCTCTGACTGTCGACGTGCTCGTCTTCAGGAATCGCGTTATAATCCTCATCAAACCGCGTGTAATATGTACATAAAGTGTTTTTGCTCTCTCCGACGGTGCGCTGCTAGCTCGTCTGCTCGCTACTCTTGTTGTTTGTGTTTTAGGAAGATGGCCGTTCTGCTCGGCGGAGACCACGTGACCCTGAGGCGACTGACTGACTGGGGTGAAATATAAAGTGCGTCTGAAAGCAGGTCTACAGCGCCCCCAGCGTCCAACGGCCCTCCCTACAGGCGTTCTCATTGGCCTGTATTCACTGATCCAGTTTAAGACACTCATAATTCACTTTTATTGACACGTGTTAAAAACGGAGATGATTACTGGTAGCACGTTTACTTATTACCACTAAATACAAGTTGTTATGCGTGAACAAAACTACAACAACGATAATTATTGGAAATACGTTGGCTCTCGCGGATTCAAGTTCAATTCGTAATTATTTGCATGTGCAAAAAATAAATGGCAAAAATAAAAGATGATAATTGATAGCACGTCTGCTTTAACTGATTCATTGTTCAGTATTATTTTATATATGTAAAAGAGGGTGCAACAACATTGGTATATCGTCATTGGTATATTATTATTATTATTATTATTATTATTATTATTAGTGATAGCACGTTTCCTGTATTAAATCAATTTTAGGTGAACATATTCATTATTATGTGTTAAATTGCAACTTGCTAGTTAGTTTCAAAACTAACAATGATTTATTTAAAACCACGTTTGCTTCCATGAATTTAATAGATGCTCTTCGTTATTTATTTCTGTAAAATTTGCAATACCTCAATGCTAAACAAAGTGATAAAGATAAACATTTTATTTATGTTTTAATCCATAGACTTATATACAGTAACACAGCTCAGCTGTACAGAGAGGGTGGATATGCCGCTGATCTGTAAGTCATGTGCGCTGGCAGAAAACACGCTGCAGTCGATCTTCTGAACGCCATCTTCCCATCACTCCACCTACACATCTGCACAGACCGGCAGGGGAAACACACACACACTCTAACAAATGGCTATATAGGCAACGAAATAATGCTTTTCACACCCAAAAGTATTATCCTGTGCGTCCAGTTGGCAGGAATCGGGCGCTCAGCCGAAGTTGTGCAGCCTTAATTTCGAACACGGACGCCCTACAGAACGTAAACACGAGGCATCAGTTCCGGCACAACAGGTAACCGTTCCGGTATCTTCTGCGGCGAGGCGGTGTGACGAGCTCTAAAAGAAGAGCAGGTATTTTTCTGTTCTTATACAGCACGCTCTCGTTTCTTTTAACGATACCAAATTAGGGCATGCTTCGCAGAAATATAGCAGAACGCTTCGATGTAAAGACCTGAAGCAGCAGTATAGCCACACATTGATTAAGGTGGAACGCGATAGCTCGTCCGGGCAGCTTGACGTGCTTTAAATGATGTCAGATCTCAGCGACCTCAAGACTGGTTGATCTGTGTATGTTTGTGTATTAATGTAGTCTCGTCAGGTGTTAAAATGCTCTTCCAGCCAGATTTGTTGCATCTTGACCCCGCTGTCACCTATATTGGTCAGATAGATCTCCTTGCTTAGGTGCCATAACTATAGGATACAGGATACATTCCAGAACCATGTGTTAACAGCCTTGTACGTGGCCTCAGTTGGGGGGAAGTATCGGAATTTATCCTCAAATTATTTACTTGCCAGGGAACTAAAAGGAGTATCATAGCTGCAGACATTATACATGGCTGCTAACAATATTATCCCTCTGAAATATTATATTATATAAATATAATATAGTGCCACTCCTTTTTGGTGATTGTGATGTTTGAGATTTTGTAAGTCTTTTGATGATTTATGCGACAGATCATTTATCATGTCTTCTAACTAAATAAATAAATCAGGATTGAAGAAAAGTAAAAGCTTTGGATAGTTTGAGACTGACATAAGTCAAATTATAGTGAATAAACCTGAATACTGAATAAGATGAACATCTTAGCCATCATATTAGATCATTAACATTGTTGCTCGGGCGTACACTGACTGGAATGTTAATGGAGAAGGCCAATTTCATTACATTAAATAGTAGTCATCCTTAATTATTGTTTTGATATCAATTGCTGTCTGTTTCTGTTCCCAGACTTATTCTCCAACCTTTCTCTTCAGCCCTGAGATGGCAGATCCACGAAGCCAGGTCTCAGCTTCCGTGCCTCAGAAACCTTTGGGCTTTTCTGCATCCGAGGGCAGTACCGTTGAAATGGACCCAATGGAGTACACCCTCCGAAAGCGCTTGCCCAGGAAGCTGCCCAAGAGGCGTAATGATGTCTACATCAACATGAAGACCGATTTCAAGGCCCAGCTGGCCAGGTGTCAGAAACTGCTAGATGGTGGTGCTGGACACAGGGAAATCTGCATCCACGGTCTGGGACTTGCCATTAACCGGGCCATTAATATTGCCCTGCAGCTGCAGGCTTTCAGTCAGGGGGCTTTGCAGCTGGCTGCTAACACCTCCACCGTAGAGCTGATAGATGATCTGGAGCCAGACGATCCAGACGAAGCTGGGGAGCCGCTGACACGAACAAGGAACAACTCAGCCATCCATATCAAAGTTTTTTACCCCAAAGCTTAGAGACTTGGAATCAGCTACATAAAGGCCTGATACTAATGCATATGTAAAAAGACCCTCCTCACTCTTTTCTAAGTGGTGAATCCATGATATGGGGATAAGCTGACTTCTGCTGTTGGTTGTAACAGCTCTCCTGAAGATTACACAAGAGCATAAGAATTGTGATGCAAATAGTTTGGGATCAGAAGAAACTGCTGTATGTGAAATGATCAGTCTACACCCGTATTACATGGATTTTCCCAAGTGGAAGATGCTAGGAGGTGTTTTTATATCTGAATTAGAACCAGGCCATAGGCTAGGCCTGATTATGAGGGCCTGGTGTGGAAGAAGCTGACCAACACTGACCGCATTCTATCCACCTGTCTCCTTATGGCACTGAAATTGGATGGGAGGAAGTAAGGAAGATCAGTGTATTTGGGAGATAAGCAGTAATGTCTGTGTAACTAGTGCCCTCTATATGTGTAGGTTTCTGTAGTTCTGATACAGACAGTTTGAGACAAAAGTGAAATAATTTTGTATTGATGTGCTGTTTTAGAGTACAAAGTATTATTTGCTGTGCCTGTGCATGTTGTATTTTTGTAAGTGTTATTTAATATCTTACTTTCTTTTTGAGGAACATGATCTAATTCATGTATTGAAGGCTCTTTTCTTTTGCTTATTTGTGCAAATAAATCACTACCAAATGCCCTCCTGTCATTTGTACTCAGTACAACAATAGGCTGCTCTTGTTGAATCTGGAGGTCTCTTTGTGCCCACTTGAGGGCAGTATAACATCTACTAACTTGCAGTTTATGCAACCTCTTAAGTCTTTTACTGAGTAATGTCGTCACAGAAAGGCTTTTCTGGGCTTTCAGGCTTGATCACTTAAGGCCACAATCATTTACAGTGTCTAAAAAGCATGTTTGACTGATGCACAACACTTTAGTGCATTTCAGTGATGTAAAATTAGAAAAAGTAAAAAATGAAGAATTAGTTACAAAGCTGGTTACAGAATGGCATTACACTGAGTCATATTGGAAAGGAGTTCAAAAGAATATTGAAAGATACAAAAAATACAACCGCAAGACCTGGTAGACCACCAAAACTGTCAACAATGGATAAACAGCATTTAAATATTTCATCTTTGAGAGACAGGAGAAAATCACTCCTGCTTCAGATCTGAAAAAAATCCACAGGTTTTTCTGTCCATTTTTCCACTGTGAGAGATGGACTATCATTCTGAAAGGATGTGTAGCTGTCAGGAGCCAATACTTACAAAAAAAAATAAATAAAATTTTGCACTAGAAATCTGACATGTAAACTTAAATTAGGACTCATCAGTCCATGTAAGTTCTTTTTGTTAAATATAAGGCAGCATGTTATGCCGCCAAACCATGTCTACAACCATCCAGCAAGCACAGTGGAGGATCAGCACAAGTTTGGGAGATCATCTGGATGAGGTGATTTGTTTTTGATTGGAGGCATCACGAGTGCTAATTAAGTACAAACAAATTTAATACATAATGCAATGCCATCTGGAAAATGCTTGATTGGGAAGAAATTAATTGTAAAGTAATACACCAAGCAGACTGATGAAAATATGAACACATACTGAGCTTCTCAGAACAACGGACCAGTCACCCTACAGAGTGGACACACTAACTACTGAAAAAATGGTACTATGTATAGTTGTTGAGACTTCTGTGTAATTTACTCTTAAATATGTTTTGTGCTTTTTTCCTAATGCAGAAAAAAATAACTAACCATTTTGACTGCAAGTAAATAAATGAAATGGTGGTCTCTGGTGATATTGCACAGTGCTGTACACAATCTTCCTTAAGGTATCATTATTTACATTAGGGGCCATATTATCCACCAGTAATTCTATGTTAATATCACATATAGGAACACTCACAAGCAAGTGTAGCGTTTAGACAATTTGCACTTTTTATTCACTCTTTAGAACTGCAATATTCATGATGACAGTTTTTTCACGGCCAAGCAGCACAGAGTTTAATTAGAGGACAAGTGATTAACTTGACAATCAGCAAAATTACTTTTTTCATTCCTGTATGCTTCATTTATGTTTAAGGGATGCTAGACAGTATCTTGTGTACTTACACAGAGTCTTGGGTTTCTAAGTCCTGTGGTCTTCACATGAATGTTCCAACAGGCTTCAGGGAATGCCACTGATTCAGTGTGTGGCAAGGAGTGCACTCAGACGCATGACTGAAGAGTTTCCAACAAACAAGCAAACATCCTCCATCCTTGTTTTCATTCATCTATTTTTTCCCTCTCAGAATAATATTTAGCATTTTAATACCAAATGGCACAGTGGCACAGAGACCAAACAACAACAACAAAAACAAAAAAACAGGAAAAACACTATTACAAACTTCCTCCTTCACATTCACATATTGATTGAGTGACGAACCTTAAAAAAAGAACAGCACAGAAAAACAACATACAAACACAAGAATGACCAATCCGAGCCCGACGCAAAAAGAAGAAATGTCTACCACTCAAAAGATTCCCAGGCCAAGACACTGGACTGTGACCAGAGCAGGAGTCAGGCAGGATGTTCATCACGCAAACCAATCAATATTTTTCCTGGCAGTGATGCTATCTGCGCAGGGCTTCACGGTCCCACGTGAGTACGACGCAGATGCTGATAATCAACACAGCCTCATCAGTCCTCACGTAGGCCCCCGCTTACCTCCCCGAAAAAACGCAACTATTTGGTCTCTCTTCCTCTCACCAGAAGTGACCCGTAAACAGCCTCTTCTCTCGAACATCTTCTGTCTCTCACACGCACAGACACGGACATTCACACACTTAATAAAATCTGTATAAAACCAGCAGTGCGATATTAATAATGATAAATATGATTTCATCAGCAGTTCAACTTTTGGAGGTGGTAAAGGCTAAGATGGAAAGCAGGTGGCTTCCTCACACTACCTTTATAATAAAACCTGCCACAGACAGTGAAATATACATCTATATAAATAATGAACATTATAAAAGCAATAAAAAATACTTCTGAGATTCTAAAAAAAAAAAACAACAATCTTGAAAAAGCAAGTGTGGTGATTCGTAAGGCAAGCCTCCAATGCAGCTGTGATAGGAGGGCAGCACTGTCAGTCAATTGAGTAGTGACTGGCTGCATGACAGAAAAAAGTGTGCAACATGTATCCTAAGAGAATCTAGTGTCCAAGAAGTTAAATATATTCCTCCGCTCTCCGTCCACTGTGAGAACTTCCAAAGTGCCGTAACTTCTCCCACTCTCCACTTTCAAAGCCCAGTTGAGCTTGACACCTTTAAGGTTTCAGTCTTTCAAAAGGGTCCATGATGCTGTTCCACCTTGCGTCATGGACCACTCCAATCAACTGGGCCCCTGCCTGTTGTGTTCCAATCAGCTGACGTCTTGCTGGCAGACGGGTGCATTGGCAAGCAAGAGACGCACCTTTCCACGCAGGAAATTAATGTGGACCTGGAAGAGCTCTGAGGCAGAAGATACTCTCCACGTCTCCTGGACATCTATACTCTCATCTGTAGGCACATAGTCCTGCAAAGAACAAAACAGAGAGACATACATGACTTCAAATGTCCTTTGTTGTAATTTAAATGCAATTATGTGTTCATTACCATATTGTTTTAAAAAAATATATGCGCTACAGGTTAATGTGAATCTGCCCAGATGATATCTATACTGGTATGGCATAAGGTATTAGCAGATAGGAAGGAGGTTATGTTTATTTGCTGTTTGCTTTAGTTGCTGAATAACTGTAGAGCTGGACCGTCTCCCAGCATTCTCTGAACACAGTGATACAATCCAGTCTTTCCAAGAATTCTGTGAATGTGTGTGTCTTCCACAAACATGCATATCAGTATCTAAAAGTCTGTGATATGGTTGGATCCAGCTCTCTCTCGCTGATTCACACGCACATGTACGCACGTAAACTCTGTGTCGCCTCCAGTTACAACCACTACGAAGTCATGTACACTTTACCCTTATCGCTATCAATGCGCAAAAGTACAAGTCCAGCTGAACTCAGTAGTAATTATACTGTGTGTGACTCACCTGTATGCTGAGGCTACGCAGTACTTGTCCAACGCTGGCAATGTTTCTGACACTGGCATCTATGTGGGAGTGCAGTACAGAGGTGCTGACTGATGTACGTAATGAGCTGATGGCCTTGTTTAGCAGCCATAGGCCTGTCTGAACTTCTCGAGCTTGCTCCTCCATCTAGAACAGCAAATTATCTTTTAATTTCATAGGTCATAGGATGTACAATAAATCATCACTATTGTAAGACAATCTCATACCGCTGAAACGTGGCAGCAGAAGGAAAAAGCTACAGCCAGGCCAATATGTCAGCTGGCCAATAATATCAGGCTATACCGAGGTTGCAATTTAGATTTGCTATAGAAGATTTGCTTTTCAAAATGTTTTGTTCAGACAGCGACTAATATATATATAGTGGACCAACAAGGTAGGAGTGTCTAATAGAAAGGACAGTGAGTGGACACAGTGTTAAAACCTAAAAACTCCGGCAGGGCTGCAATGTCTGATCAACAAGTACCAGCGTAACACACCACCACCACGTCAGTGTCACTGCAGTGCTGAGAATGATCCACCACCCAAAAAATACATGCTCTGTGATTGTCCTGTGCGGGTCCTGACCGTTAAAGAACAGGGTGAAAGGGGGCTAACAAAGTACGCAGAGAAACATACAGACTGGAGTCTGTAATAAGAACTAGAGTCTGTAACTACAAAGTGTGCCTATATGGTAAGTGGAGCTGATCAAATGGACAATGAGTGTGAATACAAGGGGGTATTCCTAATAAAGTGCTCAGTGAGTGTATATATGCACATAGTGACGCAGCGTTTGCCACAGGCTCCGCACTGTGTGGGGACCTTAGAGGGTGAGGCCGTGCAAAGTGGCTCTTTGAACGCGCCATACACCTGAATAAAAAGGACATTTTGTTGTGACTTCTTGTCGCTGCTGTATGGTTTAGTTGTACTTATTAGTGTAATTATGACCAAGCGTGGTTGGTTTACAGTGTGTTGGAAGTGTCTACCCTCTTCATTTGTTGTCCTCCCATGCTATCCCCTCTCTGTGTTTCTTGTTGGGGTAGCACTGTGTTGGACATTTTTTGCTGCTCTTGAAGTGCCTGTCTAAACTTGAAAGAGCGTTTGCCTGTACACGCCATGCTGTCCAGTTCTTCTTCTGCGCTGACGCTACAATATATATATATTGTTGCTGTCGGAACAAAACCTTTTTGTACCAACAAAATCTTTGTAACAAGACAAAACATTGTGACATGAGACAGCTATCTGGCCTACAAAAAAAAAAAAGAAAAAGAAAACTACATACATTTTTCTTTTCCCACACACTAAAATCCACTCTGGTCAGAGGAACCACGAGGGGCACACCAATTCTGCAGTCGTCTTTACAAACTCTCTAAGATAACAAGGGAAAGAATGAGTGTAGATGAGCTTAGACAAAGTGCGAACATCAGCATAGACAGTCTACATCAGAGAAAGTCTTCCAAAACCTATTAGTGTGATGATTTGAAAGTGTATGTGTATTTTACCATAG